AATTATTTGTGGTCCAAAACCGACTCAAGAATTAAATTAAAAAAACTAAATGGATCTAAATCCAATAATTAATCTAAATCTTCAGTCCAAAAATTCCAAGGATTCAACAGTAACGATTCAAACACTAAAACTCCGTTAACATAACTCGAAAATTTTCTGAACACGATTGATTCTTGAAAAATTGATCCGCATGTATAGGAATTGATCCAGCACCTCTGCCTCAATTGAAAGTTGATAATGCTTGTGCCCACCAAATTGTTTTCCAATTTGCTGTAATGAACTATTGATTAACTTTTATCACACTCCTTGATAATTAAAAAAATGCCATCCTATATTCACATTGATGCTGGCCCAAGTTTCCATAATTAAAATTAATAAACTAAAGTGTCCATTATGAAACCAAAGAGTGCCAATCCAATTTCATGTGCAAACTGCCGATCCGTAATGATGCCGTCTTACCATTTTTTTTTTTTTTAAAATTTGATGCAATTTCTTTATTTCTTCGTCATCTCGATCTCCAATTTTCAATTAATTCACAAGATTCAAAAATTACAAGAATTAAAAAATTCTTATGTTCCGTAGACTCACAATTTTGATTATAATTGAAACGAAAATTAAATCAAGATAATAGAGTCGTAATCCACCTATCTTATTACAGATTTGAAATAACGAATTATAATCAAAGATTGGCAACAAATAATTGGTTCACAGTTTAAAATACTTCAATATTTCAATCAACATATAATAAATTATTCATAGACATCGCTCGACTAGAACATGCAATCAAAATTCAAAAATAATAAGCACGTGAACGATCTAAATTGTTTTGATACCAGTTGTTGGAATGCGGAAGCGAAATTATCCAGAAATTAAAATTTTTCTTTAATTCAAATAAGATCGCTTATATGTTCACGTGTATGTTATATAAAAAACAAAGTATTCGAATTTTTACCTAAATTTGATTATCAATTCTTGAATAAATTTTGAGTCACGAACTTTTAGCTTTTTAATTTCAAGAACTTGATGTTTCAAACATCCAAGTCTTCTGTGGTATTCTCCGACTACAATGGTAGGTGAGCACCTTCTTTTAATTAAATCAAGACACTAATTCTTGAATTGTACAATTGAAATAATCAAGAAAAATAATTTTCTCTCTCCAAAATTTGAACGCTACGGAATCATGAATTACGAATATTGGGCAATTCCATTCCATAGGATGTGTAGGATCCATCTAATATCTAATTTTATAGAGGTAGAAGAGTTTCAATCCTTATACAACAATAATTTCACATTAGAATAGGAGTTCTAATTAAAATTAAAGTTCAAATCCAATTAGTTTACATTTAATTATATGTGTAGTCGTAAAACTTCAATTATAATTTTAATTAAATTTACAACTTTCGTAGTAATTATAAATAAGTACAAAACTTTATTATAATTACAATTAAGCTCAAAACTATTATAATTACCGTAATTGAATTCCAATACTTTATGAAGCTACCACAGGGACCTGATCGGACTATAAGATCACAAAAGCCAATGAATTTGTAATACTTTCCTCTTATCTGCCGTACATGTATTCTATCCAATCCGAAATCCAATAATTAGGTACGAGCATAAATGACCGTTTTGCTCTTCTAAGTATTCTCACTAACTTAAGTTCAATTTTCTTCAACGGTCTTGTGAACTAATTAGAGATGTCGAAGTGCAGTCGTCGTTAAATACTGAACTCAGATTTTAATTGTTCAAGAGGAAATGCTTAAGTAGTTACTCGACTCATATTTTAGGGCGATAGTTCCTGACACGAGTTCATGTTCTCTACTCCACTTATTCTCAAGTTTCTAACTCATCGAGATATTTGACCAATCAAATTAATCTCACTTATTGATAAATCAAATAACCATTAAAATCACGAAAATATATATATATATATATATATATAATCTTGTCAAGGGATTTAAATTAAATACACAGTGGTCAAATAAAATTTAATTTTTCGCACGATCATGATATGAATTAAATTCAACATGCGATCCATTCAATACACTCCAAATGTGCTGGTGTCACCTTTAACTATTTTTGTGATAAAGACAAATCACAAACCTGAATAGTGTATCAGTCAACACTACAATCTTTCAGTACAAGGTGCCAAATCTTATACATTGGTTGTGGACAAATTATTTATAATCAAAATATAAGTTGTGTCACACTGTACTTTTCAACGCAAGTTCCCATCTTATATGATCTCAAGTAATCATATGCACTTTAATTTGCATGCTCAATGATAAATAATACAATAAAACCACAATTTATTTATTATAAATGATTATTTTATCATAGCAAAATGTACCGTATAGACACACCACCCAACAAATTTAACTGCAATTATGGTTCCTAATCCTTATGGAACTCTATTTTAGACCTGATCAAGGTATATAAATTTGAAATCTTTCATTCAAAATAAGGAGAGGCTAGAGATATAATATCTACGCTAGATTACAGATTCAAATAAATTGAATCTTCAAGATTTGTATCCCAATTTGAGATTTTAAGGTTGAATGACACAACTGATTGGGAGATATTCAAGCATTCAAGAAGAGATTGAGATTCATTGCTGGGAATTGAGTGCCAAGGTACAACAATAGCTAGGATTATTTTCTTTATTCCGTCTATTGAAACAGGTGATGGTTTAATTTCTTAATTATGATTGGCCAAATTGGTTGTTATAATGAACGACATAGATTAATATTTATTTAATTCAATTTATTTAATCATTTTGCTTTGATTGTGTGTTGATTATCTATTGTGTTTTAATTGCATTCAATTGCTTGATCACCAATTGTTTAATTTAAAAACAATATTGAGACTGAGAGAAGATTTATTTGTTTAATTCGTACAATAAGTGACATAGATTCATAAGAGATAAAGAGATGATTATAACTTATGCAATCATATTTGAATTTCCTAAAATTGAATATTTTTTACATTTGTATAAATTTACATTGAGACATAGTAAATTCGAACATGTGAAGATTACAAACTAAAATTGGTTAACTCGATTATTAATGTATATGAACAAATGGTTGAATGATATTGAGTTGAATAAATATTGATCCTTGTTTGGGCTCCATTAAAATGATTTTTTGAGGAAAAAATATATTTTAGAATATTAATTTATTTTTTTTGGAAGATATGTGATTAAAAAATAAGCAGAATTTTTTGAATTTACGTGTAATATTAATTTGTGAAAGAATGTATGGTTAAAATGAGTTTTAAAAAAATGGAGCCCAAAAAGGGGCTAAATAAAGTGAAATAGAAATTTTTATCCTCTAAATCCCATTAGTTCTCCTCAAAGTTGTAAATAGTATATGGATTTTGACTAATATAATTTAGTTAAGTTAATATCTTAATTTGATTTGATAAATTAGTTATCACGTTAATTTAGATTGAAACGAGATTAGGATAAATATTGATAGTAAGTACATAATTTCTGTGGGAAAGATATTTGAACTCATATCAACTTTATTACTTATTACGATTCGTATATTTAAAGAATCAATCGATCAATCATACATTTTTAAATAAAGTAATTTTGCACATATACTCATATTTTTCATAGTTTTAACCACACATTTTCAAAATTAAAAAAATGGAAAAAAGGAAAAATCACTTTCCACAAAATATGTTTTTTTTTTTTAAATATATCTAACAAACATTGGCTAAGGAATTTTATTATTTTATTTTATTTTATTATTTTTTTTTTTTTTGCCACATGCATAAAAATAACCAAATCCCTCACCTGAACACCGTGTCAGTAAAAAATGGAAATCCTGCATTTTAATTTTAATTTCTTCTTTTGTAATGGTCTAGCAGCCGGCGGCCGGAGTTTTTTCTGAAAAGTCATGTGGCCGCCAATTATTTTCCATATTCTGTATTTTGTCGTACTCGCAAATCCAATTTTATTTTGCCACCTTGCATGGAGTGGACTAGTTCCTTTTTCAAACAAACTCCACAGACGTAATACGTTACTTGTTAATTTCTCATATGCATATTTTGTTCTTGATTAAATTATAATTTAAGTAATTAAAAATTGTAAATCCTACATAATGTATGAATAATAAACAAGCAATAGTCGTGGCTCTTATAATATGTATAAAAATTTATAATAATTATGGATCTACACGAAATGGATAATCCATGCGCTATATAATGCAAAGAACACCCTCTAGGTTGTCCCTATTCACCGTTTCCTCTTTAATTGGAAGTATAGGTTCATTAATCTCATCAAGTTTTAACTTCTCGCAAAGGGTGGATAGCTCTAATGGATTGATGTCGATAGTGTTTGCGCCGAAACGAAGAGAGAAGGTTCTTGCATTGGTAGCCACTTGATGGAACAGTCGGAAACTGTCCAGCCAATCAGAGATCAGCCAGAAAAGACTCCCCATTGGAGATAAGCACTTAAAATCGTCAAGGAGGGAATTTTAGAGAGATAGTACGCCATGCATGATGCAATTGAATGTTTAGTGATTTAATTGCTTTGTAAAGTTGTTTTTAACCTTTAAGACATGAGTTAGGAGATTTTTTTTTTCTTTTTTCTTTATTTTTTTGAGACAATATTTAAATGTTATATAAAGGTGCTTATAGTTTATACACATCGAATAACATGAAATAAAGTTGGTTTTATGTGTGTTTTGGTTAGTAGGAACCCTAAAATTTAAGTAAACACTTCAAGTTCGTGCAAGATATTTAAACCGTTTTGACACACTTCAATAAAGGTGCTTATATGTTTTATATTACGTCAATATTTAATATATTTTACTCAAAGAGCCCACAAAATAAAAAGGAGTCTTATTTGTACACTACCAAGAGTTGGGAAGAACGTTCTTGAATTAGAATGGTTGTCCATGGACCATAGTTGAATGATCAAACTCATAATCTGCCTATATTTACCATCTCATCTCCATAATAACTCTATATAGAACTCTCTGTCTCAATTTCTATATACTTACGCACTCACTATAAATGGATTCTAGTGATTTCACCGTCAGTGTGAAGTGGAGGGAGGTGGTGGCAGCGGTGCTGCCAGTACCCGAACAACTTTTGCCAATGTCAAACCTAGATTTGCTCCTACCACCCCTTGATGTTGGAATTTTCTTCTGCTACAAGAAAAGTAGCAATCATACGGAGCAAAATTTGTCGCCTGAAAGTATGGTGAGCAATATAAAGAAAGCTCTTGCTCAAACTCTCGTGTCCTTCTACCCATTCGCCGGAGAAATCGTGAAGAACCACCTTGGCGAGCCGGAGCTTCTGTGCAGCAACGCCGGAGTAGATTTTGTGCATGCACATGCTGATATAGAGCTCAAAGAACTGGACCTGCATCGCCCTGATGTCTCCGTTCATGGAAAACTTGTTCCCGTAAAGATTCGTGGCGTGCTTTCTGTTCAGGCAATTCTTGTTACCTTACAAGTTACACCCCGTAACATTTATTGTTTTATTTTTGGGTGGAAGTAGGTAGGCGAGTGACCGGTTCAGTCTAAAAAATCTTAGTTGGACTTAATACCATACTCCTTGTACACGTTTACTTTAAATTTCCTGTGTTAAAATTTAGTCAATATTTTAAAATTTCAAATGTAGGTGACGGAGCTGAAAGGCGGCGGTCTTGTAATTGGATGCACATTCGATCACCAGGTGGCGGATGCCCATTCGGCCAACATGTTTATGACTGCATGGGCGGAGATTTCTCAATCAAAGCCAACAACCCACCACCCATTTTTCCGCCGTTCACTTTTAGCCCCACGCCTCCCTCCGCAACATGATAAATTGATAGATAAAATGTACGTAATGTTATCATCCATTCCCCCACCTCCAAAGGAAATCGAGGTAAGTAATGATCACCTATTGAGCCGAATATACTACATGAAAGCAGAAGAAATCGAACGCCTCCAATTCCAAGCCAGTTATAATGGAACTAGAAGAAGCAAAATCGAGTCATTCAGTGCATTTTTATGGAAAACAATAGCCGAAGGAGGGAATGACCTTTCGAAGGGAGTAAGATTGGGCATTATAGTTGATGGAAGAAAAAGGTTGGAAGGAAGAGAAAAGAAGAATTTGTCATTGCAAAACTATTTTGGAAATGTTCTTTCGATTCCTTACACAGAAGCCAGTATTCGTGAATTGAAATCAATGACACTCAAAACTGCTGCGGATTTGGTGCACGACTGCGTGGAGACGGCCGCCACAGAGGAGCATTTTTCTGGGCTGATTGATTGGGTAGTTAATCATTTCGTTCATGAATAATGCTATTCATAATTAGTCACTGCAATAGTCATATGTGACTACTTAGTATTTGAAGCATTAGCTTGTTGTTTAAGGCAATAGAATTACAAAAAATTAATGCCTCAAATGACAAGTTGTCGCCTAGGATGATTATTGCAGTCACTGACTATGAATAACTTTATTCTTCATTTATATCTAATCCTCAACACATGTAGGTTGTTTCTTTGTTTTTTCAATTTAACGCTCAAAAGTGCACGATTTTTAATAAATGGTAATTAGGTATTTTGCATGGCTACTATACTATGTTGTAATTATGAGTCATCACATCTAAAGTCTTAACTTTTATAGAAAGGCAAGGTGTATTCATTTATATCTGATCTTCAACAGGTAGAAATTCATAGGCCAAGGCCGGCCATTGTGAAGGTGTATTGTCCGGATG